ATAATTATAAAATTTTCTCATTAATTATGCAAATTAAGTCATTATTAACATAATCAATATCTTCCTGTGTTTCTCTTGTTGTCAATTACCAATGTCACAAGCTTCAATTGTCCTATCGTGGAATGCAGATGATTTATAGAATTTCCCCATAAATTATGCAAATTACATCCATATTTGCATAATTCTCACGTAATTATATCAAGCATTACGTAAGCTACCTACATACCAAAAATCACGACCATCCGTCAACTGGTTCTTGAGTTATCCCCTTTTGAATATTTTCAAGAATATATCCCTGCAGTTCCAGAGCAAGCCGCTAGGGGGCCTAAACTCGCGTCACTTCTTCCCCAGCACAAGAGCTACCTACCATCCAAATTTCATCACCATAGCATGTCTAGATCATGAGATATCAAAACCGGAAGTTCAGCTGCAGTACCATAACAAGCCGCTAGGGGTCCAAAATCTAATCATTTTGAGGTCTCATCAAGACCTACCCACCTACCAAGTATCAAGACAATCCATCAAGGCCTTCTCAAGTTATAGTGTTTACAGACAGACACACACACACACACACACATACACGAACGCCCCTGAAAACATAACCTTCTTGGCGAAGGTAACAACTAGTGATTTTTGTAAAATTTAGAACTTTTTGTAGAACATAATTGGTAGATTGGAAGGAAGATTGGTACTTGTATTTGAATTGAATTAGCGAATGGAATTAAAGGCATCCAATGCAACTTCAGGACGGCAAAACAGCAAAAAAAATTCTGGATGAGGAAATTTTGACATATACCTCCATTTCTTAAGCGTTTGAAATAGCCCCAAAACAAGCTTCGTGAGGCATCTCTTTATTTTTTGGTACCACTTATGAATAGCTAGAACCAGCCTACCATACAAAACAAGTGACCATTTTCTGCTGCCAGCAGCATCTCATTTTTGCCTCACAGATGCTGACATCTAGAATGACAAGACAATTGAATTGTATCCAAGTAGTAAGCTTTGGGTCTTGGTTGGCTTCCAAATCCAAAATTACTGTAATTTTGTATTGTGGAGAAGACTGGAACTTGTTGCCATCAAGCACAGTTGAGGCAAGCTTTAAGCAACTCCTGCAATTAAATGTGTAAAGATTGAGTGTAACAAGTCGTTCGGTGTGATACAGCTAGCTGCCGCCGCGCCGCGTGCCTGCAAAGCTGGTGTGTTACGCCGAATGGCGGTTATACCAGCTATACTGACACAAATACAGATACTGAAGATTCCGTCTGCTCAACTTGTGTTGTCTATCCACAGCATGGAGAGCAGTAACGTGGAGGTTCTCCACCACACCAAGCCAGACAAGTACCAGCTGCACCTGCACGAAAGCTGCGTCTTGTCACTCAAGTTCGCATACTGCGGTAAGACCCCTTCTACCCTCTCCTACCCCTGTCCGCATGCCAACATGTCTGCAAGCCAAGCACTGCAGGAAAGAACTAGCTGTGTAGCGATGAGAGGACAGATTACAATCAGATACATAATCATCTGTTCCGAGCACTTGTCCTACAACAGCGTGTTTTATGGATGATGCCAAAGTCCTGTGTCTAGGTACCTGGTATTCATTAAAGAGCAGCAGATTTATTGAGTAATTGCCTAAAAGTTCAGAAAGATCACCTGTCAGCAGGCTTAGTGCTGATTATGCCTGCATTACTTTGTCTCCGTGTTCGCATTTGCATTGCCCGGGACATTAGTTCGCAGCAGCATTAAAATTTATTACCCCTGGCCATTGCCTGATCATGTAGCTATAAAGGATAATGAGGTCCCCAGACAGTTGCCCCCATGCACTATTCATGACACTTAATTTGGATGTGTGTTCATCTCTACAGGCAAATGGTTTGTTAGTACTGGGAAGGACAACCTGCTGAATGCCTGGAGGACTCCTTATGGCGCCAGTATATTCCAGGTGAGCCCCGGCACGCAATAGAGGGTGCAGTTTTGCCGCCTTTCCACGCAGTGCTTTTCCGTCACTCCGGGGGGGATACAACCGAAGCATGCATATCGCATGAAAGAAGTAGTTTTGCTGCCAATTGTTGGGGGGGACGGAATGGATAATTCAATATTTATGGATGACGTTAATGTTGCCTTTTATGCCCATCTGTCGTATTTTACGAGCCCCGAGACATTCTGTCAGATTGATTACAGAGCACAAACAATAACCCGGGAATCTGGGAGGTAGCGCCGTGCTTTAACAGGACTTTGGTAATTTTGAGATGTGGGTGGGCGGGTCCAGACAGGGTATTAAGGTGTCAGCACTTACAGCCTGGTCAATACTAGTCTATAGTATTAAGTATCAAGGGTTGGGGTTTCAACATGCACTACTGTGGTGTAGATCATCAAAAGGCAGCTGGAGAAGCCCCCATTGGAATTCTGGCACGAAGAACTGGTAATTGTGGTGTAATTGGCTGGAGGGGTGCGCGTCCCGACGCTGCCAAAACAGCCAACCACCAGAGTCGTGCAGGCAGGGATGTACAATGTACCTGTCACCTGTGGGAATCAGGCACGATGGTGGTATTAGCATGTAGTCATGGTAACAAATCTCCCCAAATGCTGGATGCATGCATTGTCGTGCCATCCCATTGATGTTGACCCCGGGGAGACTGATTCTTACCGCAGCAAGCCCCAGAGACCGGCTTGTCTACATGCGCCAGAAGCCCACTGATTGGATCGTCTGCCTGGGGACCATCCCCAACGGTGGCTCATGATCTCGTACCATCAAAAATAATTGGATTCTGTCAGTCAGTGTGAGACGAGGTCGCTAAAACTCAGCGCCTGTTTTACGCTGGGGACAACAAATACGGTTCTCAAAATGAGTTTGCATTGACAAGCCAGTCATCAAGATTTGGTCCTCGTGACAGTGGGGTCGCCGCCGTGTTATCTGTCTCCTAATGTCTGTCCTGTTGTCTGACGTGTTGTTTGTTCTTGTCCTTTTCTCCCCCCAGTCCAAAGAATCATCCTCGGTCCTGTGCTGCGACATATCGGCGGATGACAAGTACATCGTGACGGGTTCAGGCGACAGGAAAGCTACGCTTTACGAAGTCATCTACTGAGGGGAGGGGCCCCCGCCGTGATACAACAGAACGTTAGTGACACGCGGAGGTTCAGGCAGGGTGTGTGGTCTGAACGTGAGATCCTCCTTCTCATCCAAGTCTTACTACTTCCTTTCCCTTCTCTTTGTTATCTGTTCTCTAACTGTAGTCCAGAGAATGGGCTTGCATTCTGAGCTTCGACCTGTCCAAAGACGACAAGTTCATTGTCACAGGGTCGGGCGACACGAAGGCCACAGTTTACGAGATCATTTATTGACTCCGCCTCCTCAGCTTTTCTATCACACCTCAGCCACACCCTCACCCTGACTCCTCCTGTTCGATCTCACATGGACACAAACCCAAACCGTCGAATTTTACCTGGCTAACAACGGACCAACGCGGAGCTGTCCAGGCAACCGTATAGATCAGCACACATCATAGGAAAACAGCACAGCGCATCAGGAAGACTATTCGTTATCTCGTAACTAGCAAAATTCTGGATAAACTATGTGCATCTGTGTGAAGTCTGCAGAAGGACTGTTAAATTCCATCGCTGGCGTCAGTCTTATCTTTAAGTCAAACAGTTAAAGGAAATTTGAGGTGAAAAGAAATAAAATTTATTCTCATTTGTGTTAAAGAAAGGATAAAATCCTTGGTGTTTTAGAAGGGGTACTGGAAGCTAAGTTAAGGTTCTGACCAGTAGGCTCTAAGCTCAGTTGTGAAGTAGGTTGCAGACTGTTGACACTGTTGTGAGTAAAGCAGTACTTTTTTTCACATGGGATTTTGGACATTTCATGTAGTCAGACAGACGTAATGTAATCTTGGTTTTACTCAGGGAGGTGGGGTGCAGTGTAGTTTTTTGTTGTTGTTATTTTGTTTCCACCGTTGTTTTACCTCAGATTGGACAGTGATGGTTGAGTGTATTTCTGGCTGATCTAACAACGTAGATAAATGTGTGACTTTGCAATGGAAAAAAAAACTTGTTTGCAGCTTGCATTAATGCCTGTACAGTGCATGTGGCGCTAACCCATAAAGAATACAAAGTGTACTATATTCAAATAAATGGATGAAAGTTATAACGTTATTGCTGTTATATTTTAAGATGCACTTTTTGCCATGTACCAACAAAGAGAGAAAAGGAGAGACTTGTCTTATTTTGTATAACTAGTGGGGATATGGGGTGGACTTGTGATCCAAATAAAAGTTAACAAGTTGTCAACATTTACATGTGTAGCTCAGTCATGTGAGTAGTGAAGTAGGTGCCAGTAGAAACAACATGGTTAGGCAGTTGAGCATCATCGGGTAAACCAGCATGGGCAAGTGTAAATTTCTACCTGCAATGTACATAGAAGAAAGAAACTGTGTTTCCTGGCAGTTTTTGCTCGTGGCTTGGATGTGTGTAAGGTTTACCCTCAGCATATTGTGCGTGATTCTGGTTCTCCACAGCGACTTTTGTACGAGAGACTCAGAGTGGTATCTAGTTTTGTTCCCCCATAGGCCTTAAGTTCCTTTGAGAGAAAGAGAGAGAGACCTGTATGTAGAGATGTTCAAAAAAATAAATACTGTGTTAATCCTACTGTTTAGTGTTGGTTTCCTTGTTGTGTGTTGAATTTTCCCACCATTTAGGTAGTTTCACGACAATGTTTCAAGCTCAAGTTTATTTATTCATCCAGAGTATATGTCAGATCTACGGATCTGTTTTTCAGACAGCCCATGGGCACACACATTTAAAAAGAGTCCTGGAAACAAAAACAAAAGTATATACAAATACCTTTTCAAACAAATTGACCACAACATATATCCACTTATGATTCCAAGGTTGTAGGTAGAGGACCCTGCAGTTTGTAAAAGGCTTGTAAAGGGCCTAAACATATTTCACTTCTTCCTTAGCGCAATCGCAAAGTCAAATTTTCCACTTAAAGATTGTGACCGCGGTATGTCAAGAACACACAAAAAAAACTGGGAATTCTGTAATAGTGGATCCAAAGTCTAACAAAAAAGAAACCTGGGAATTCTGTAACAGTGGATCCAAAGTCTTATATGATTTCAATTAGATCTTACCACTTACCATATTTCATAACAATCCATTGATAACTACTCGAGGTCAACCATAAGCATAGTTGCAAACACTGCATTACACATAGATTTCACTGAACACAAAATGTTAGTGAAGATAAATAGAGATTCAAGTATGAACTAAAGTAAAACACTGCAGATGTCACTTCCATGCCAATGATACGAGTCATCTTTAGATTGAATTAGAAGAAAATAGAGCAAACCCGGCAGCAATGTCAATGAATCAGACAAAAAATTCATGTGTCTAAGTCTTCACCTGACTAACCGCGATTTCAAAATTAGCAAATTTAGCCAAATAGGGAAAATAATTAAGTTTGATCATCATAGAATTTATTTGCCTTCGTTGGAAGGGGAAATTAACCTTCCCATGGACCGACTTTCCTTGCCAACTTTTTCCCTTTCTTGCCAAATTCTATGATCCGTTCCCCCGTAGGAAGGCCTGGTGGAGGCTATCTGAACCCTATCTGAAAGCAAACATGGTTTGTATGATGATCAGGACTGAGAGCTAATCATGTACACCGAAGCAATAAGGAGGGGAACATTATTGCAGATAAGGAAACAAACCGAAGTTCCGATAAGCCCAGGACGGGAGAATGAGTGGATGGTATTGATTTTTTTTCCAGTCAATGAAATTTGTACTGATGAAAACGTGCTTCAGTCTTCTTTGGTCGCAGGAACAGTCACGCAAAGATAGTCACTATCATTGACCCATTAGGTATTTTAAAAAAATGTTACATTGACTGTAATGGTCTACAGAACTCATTCAAATGGCATAATGTTATATGCAATGACAAAAGTGTTGGTGTGCACATAAGGAGAATGAACATTTTTTAAAATCCTCAGGCCACACCAATTTAATTTGTTGCTTCTTGGATTTAAAAAAAAAGAACCGACTGCAAAAAAACAGGTCGAGCTATCCTTTTATCTCCCCAAATGTCATGATAGGAGCCATGAAGTCAACAAAAAGGCTGGGTTGATATTTAAACAATAAATTTTTAAACTTTAAATCAAACCACTGCATTGATAGATGGAAAAACTGTAACAACTAGGAAGAAAAGGACTTTCCTCAACTGTGGGGGGCAAAATATGAGCATTTTTTAGTTGATTCAGAACCAGAATCTTTGTTTTTTTGCAAATCGGAAAAAAATCTGAGGCAAGTCTGAGAACCAACAAATTAAATTGGTATGGCCTCTGGAAAAATCACTACATGAAATTCTCAGAAATTCTCAAATCAGCGTAAATCTAACCTTCCGAACATTTGTGTAATGATATTATTTGGTGGTAAGTAGATTGCAGGGTTTTGCCATTATATGTCGTACACTGATACTAATGAAATTAGGCAAGAACTTGCAGTTGTGACACACCACACACACACACACACGATACCGAGAGTATTATGATTTTGACCTGTCAAAAGGCTAGATTAAGATGGAAGTGAACTACGAATGATGACAGTTACCATTCCAAATATAAGGTTAGTTTGCAAGAGTATAATGTAATTTAGCGTTAGGAATTAAGAAAAAAATATGAATGTGCCTAATTGATATGGCAGGCACATCATTTTGTGCAAGGTGCTGTAAATAAGGAGATTTATAATTTCACTAAAAAATTCTTTAAACATCAAACTTTGTATGTGCTAAATTGTTAAGCAAACCTATAAAGATAGTGTTTGACCGAATGTGTAGAAATGGTGTTGACACTGAAGCATTATTGGCCAGTAGTGTTGCAGTTTTATTTGAAATTTGCAAGATGTCACCACTGCACACCTGTTAATACCATTTTCAACTTGAATCAGATTCAGTGCCTTTGTGATATTATGTCAAAATCACTTTGATTTACCTCTTGAGATTTTAAAATGAGGTGGTGGGCAAAATGCCAGTTTGGAAGAGTGCTACACACTAAAGAGTTGCACTACCTCATACCTTCGCCAAATGATGTTAAATGGTGTTGACGCCCCTTAGGCGTCGCCAAAATGTTGTTGTCTTCGGAATGAACTAAGCAGCTGGCCATGGACACTACACTAGTAATTTTAATTCTTGTTCTTTGTTGATAGAATCAAACTTAGAGTAATTCTGGTGATAATACTCAGAGGGTACAACCTACATGTAACATGTATGTCATCAGTTGGACTGATGTATTTGACGGTCTCATACATACACACATACATATAAGTAACCCCCCCCCCCACACACACACACACCACACACACATAACCTTCTTAGCGAAGGTAAAAATAACCTTTAATCCAGCAATGCACTCTGAGGGACACTAACATGATGCCAACATGAGCTGCACGTTTTGAAGACTGCAGTTCACACCTTACATGACAGATGTCGCCCATGTACGGTAGTTTCTTAATTGCATTCTAATCCTCTATCATTACCTTTGCCAAGAAGGTTATGTTTTCAGAGGCGTTCGTGTGTGTGTGTGTGGCTGTGTGCGTCTATAGACTCGATAACTTGAGAAGGCTGAAACGGATTGTCTTGATACTTGGAAGGTTGGTAGGTATTGAGGAGACCTGGAAATGATTAGATTTTGGACCCTCTAGCAGCTTGTTATGGTACTGCAGCTGAACTTCCGGTTTTGATATCTCATGATCTAGACATGCTAGGGTGACGAAATTGGGATGGTAGGTAGCTCTTGTGCCGGGGAAGAAGTGACGTGAGTTTGGGCCCCCTACCGACTTGCTCAGGAACTGCAGGGCTATCTGTTTCGAGATATTCAGAAGAGGATAACTCAAGAACTGGTTGATGGATCGTCGTGATTTTGGTATGTAGGTAGCTTACGTGATGCTTGATATAATTATGTGACAATTATGCAAATATGGATGTAATTTGCATGATTTATCGGGAAATTTATATAGGACTATTTAAGCTTCTTACATGACTCAACAAAGGGGCAAAGTCAGCGGGAGGGTTACCAGACAAAGTCACAAATGTGACCCATTGCCAGTACGTACTAAACGCTTCCAAAATACTCCTCTACCGTATATTGTAAACCTGTTAAGCGATGGCATTTAGACAATTGTGGCATTTAGATAATTTATTGGTACATGGTAACTTTGAAAATTGATTGGTATCTTTTACTCTGTTTCCATTCATATGATATTGAGATTGGCACCGAAAAATTCACAAAATTGATTTCCTTCATATATTGCAGTCGATGAGTTGATATTAAGTTTGCTGTCATGAAGAAAAGACCAGGTTCAAACTGAAGCAATCCCTCTCCTTGGTGCTGAAAGCTATCCCTACACAACGCCCCCTTCCCTGTTCGTAAGAATATTTCGCGGTTGCCGAGCATTTTCACCTCTCCTAACCTCAGAAACCGGCTCCTTTTCTCTGTAAAGGCAGTTCGTACAACTATGTAGCTTATCCGGGGGAACATAATTGCCCAAAATAGTCCCGTTCCTCCGAAAATCCTTCGTAATTTCAGTTGTTTACATGGAGAGTAAAGCGGCTTTATGGTTTCGAGTCGGTTGCCCATATTTGGTCGTAAAATGGTACGTCATCGTTATTTCTAACCAATCACCAACGAGGAATTGTATCAGCCAATCAGGCTTAATGACTCAAAAACGTTGCCGTGATGAAAACCAATCAACATCAAGGATACATAGGCTAATGACCCTCTGCGCCATGTATCAAAAGTGACTTCTAGCAGTCGGTGAAATTATTGTATGTAAAAATTACCCCCAAATACCTGCAATAATTCTATGAACTGCTAGAGGCCCTCATTGACACGTGTGATGAATAGCGTAGTCCAGTCACGTGACCTAGCGCCCGCGAAACTCGAGTAAACAAGCTGTCTCTTGATCTTTTTCGAGCAAGGCAAAGTGAATTGGCGAGGTAAGACATTTTTTCTTCGTAAAAATTTTGTACAATTCGTAAACCTACATACTTATCGAATGGATGTATTAAAATAGACATTCTTAGGAACAGTTTGATATGTCATTTGTGTATTTTGTGGAGAATTACCGCTGCCGAATTGCAAAAATGCGGACCGATGCGTGAGTGCACCCACAGCGTGGCGTGGTGTGGGAGGGGGGGCGCGCCGTCACTTGTTGGACGTTCCACTTTCAGGAGTCCGTCTTAACACGAATTTCTCTACTACAAATAGCCCTTTTAAACTGTTTTTGTATTCCTAATGTTATGTCGCGATTATTACGTGGACAAACAGGTCAGGTTTAGCGAGAAATTTGACGAGAATCGTATTGCTGAGTTCAAATGAAGAGGTACCGTTTATACATAGCCATAGGTGTGCTCGAACTCGAAGCAAACTTGGAAGTTGGATAAGGTTCTGCACAAATATATATGTTGTTTTCGAAGTGGAAATTGTACTTTCCAATTGTGTTTCGAATATTTTGTATGTGGAAACTGGAAAGACAAGAAAGGCATACTTACCATTATCTTCACTATACTTGATACCAAGCAACATGGATACATAATTTTTTCAGACTTTCAAAGCAATTTTTATTACTCCGTGAAGGAGGTCAGGACCTCCGAACGGAGTATTGTGATCGGCTGATTTTTCATGTTCGCAGTCAAAACACTGGGTTCTCTTTGTGTAATCGGCACGCAATTTTATACGCCGTCTGCGGGCATGCCCGTGTTGATGCACGAATGTGTATCTTTGCCGTTGCTGCTTTCGCGGTTAATGTAATATTGCAGACGCACCCCTACAATTACGAGGCGAATTGGAATGGTCCAGAAAAACGCGTTGTTTGGAATAGCAGTGGGGGGGTGGAACTTCATGCAGATATGGGGTGGTTTTGATAAGTGGTTCCAGATGTTTTTGCCCATGCTTAAGAGATGGCAAGTTTTTTGGAAGATGTTCGCAGCCAAAACGCATTCTTCCGTACGTCGCATTTCTGTGTAATTTCGCATGTGGTGTGGCATTATGTCTGGGATGATGCACGTCTTTTTATCTTTACCGTAGCTGTTTTGATATTGAAGTAAATGCATATTTTAGAAACATCCCTACTTTTACAATCCTGTGGAATAGGCCGTAGGTTTAGGCAGTTGTCTGGTAGCAGAGGTACTCTAAGCCAGTGTTTCCGCCAGAGGGCCGTCCACCCGTCATATGACGGCCTGGTATCGTTTTGGACGGCCTGAACTCGGACAGAGGCCGTCCTGTTAAAAAATTTCGAGACTCGGAAAAATCAGAGAAATTGACAGTCTTTGTTTTGTTGCTGTAGACGAGGACGCCGTCCAAGGCAAGAAAGACACACGTTGTTTGTTTTGCTATTGTTATCATGCTGACGAACAATTGATGTCGGCGCCTTTCGCATACGTTAATCTCATTAAAACCCGTCTTTCAAGTCTCCATCCGGTAGAATGTATCCACAAACATTTTTCCTCGAACAGAATCATTTCGGATGTGAAAATTCTCTTTTGGGAGTTACGTTTTTGATGGTCTTGTAGCGGGCGGGTTGCATGAAAATCCACGCCGCAGTTCGCTATCCACGCCGCGGTTCGCTAACACTTCCGGCTTGCTTGAATACGCGAAAGGCACCACAAATCGGCATATGGATGCATACATTTTCCCAAAAATTCTTCATAATGAATTTCTTTACTAATTAGCGGTAGAAACACCGTAGAAAGTAGCGTAGTGTAACTCTCTTCGCCAACAAACAAATTCTGCAGCTATGCCGGGAAAGATGGCTCTATCCAATCAGAGCGCAGGTCATATGAGGTCAACCAATCAGAGCGTAGAGTTTACGCTGCTACTTACATATTAATGACAAAATGGCGCGTATTTCCTTCTCCGGCGAGGTTGAGAATGTGTGCTGCAAGTTTATTTTTCCGGCGATTTTCTGACTTTTAACGCCGATTTTTCGCACGCTACGATCACGCTACCATTTGACACTGTACTGGAGACAACAGATGAGTGATCATTTTACAATCAAGGAGCATTTTTGTTGAATGAAACAACAATGAAAGCTACGATACAGCCAATTATTTTTCAAAATTTGTCTCGTGTATGAGAGATAAGATGACGTTTCTTGACATGTTTTGATGTATTTTTGGCTTGATATTAACTAGTAATTCGTAGCGGAAATGTACGGAAGAAGTACGAGTACGAACGAAGCAAGGCTCTTCACTATTAAAAATCCGGCTAGCGCGGGCGCTACCGGGGGTTATAATTAAATGATGCCGATGTTTGGAGTTTTGCAGCAGAGTTTTGCAACAGTATAATTTCCTGACGATACGTTTGCCATCTGTAACAGTGTTTTTATGTCAATACAAAAAAAATGTGGAATGCTTGTGGACAGTTTCAACTTGTAAACAAGTGTAAACAAATGCCCCGCCCCCTCAGTTAATTTTCGCGACGTGTTCCCTATTAAAAGTTAATTAATTTTCGCGACCCGGCCCTTCCCAACTGGACGGCCTCTCAGCTGCAGTCTGGCGGAAACACTGCTCTAAGCAGATATCCTGGTTATCTGGCCGGCGGTAGTAACACTCGCGGTGCTTACCACAACTGTTGCTGGAATTTGGCCTGTTCCAGGCGCGCTTAATTAGGTACAGGCACGGTAAGACGGTGGGGCTGTCTTTGTTACTAGACACGACCATGATAGTCCGATCTTTATGTGAATGCAATGATTGTGTGTGTGTAATTAAAATGAACTTCGAACTTGAAGCACAGTATCTTTACACGCCCTGGGAGCAGTAATGGATTTAGCTCTTTGTATGTTTTATGCTTGTGACGCGCCCTCATTGTATTAACCGTTGCCTAATTACAATGTCTGCACAGTAGGTCTGGCGTTGACGCTTGGGATTTTGTTGAAATATATAAAACTTCACGGAGGATTGTCGCCTATGGCTTCTTGTTTATTTTTTAAATAATGTTTTCTCTTTGTAGAATATGGATGTTGGCATCGGGGAGCAAGATGATGAGGATAGAGGTGTTCTTAAGAGAGCAGGTATGTTGTTAACCTTGCTTCCTTGTCTAATCTATAATATGTATAAAAATGTATAAATATGTAACGTTCTATATATAAATAAAATACAAGTCAAGTATTTGCTATAGCATTATCTCACTAGACATGGCCTGTAGTTGGTGGGATTCTCTTGGTTTGAATTATTGAGGATGACATCTCTAGGTGACTTGAAGTTGAACTTGTGTCTTGTATTCTAGGCATCACAGAGAGCATGCTTGAGCAGGATCCCTGCACTCTGAAGAGAACGGCACCATCCGACTTCACGAATGAGCTGGTCATCGAACTGCGGAAGTTCCACGGCACAGTATCGCTGCGAATGGTTGATCAGCTGAAGTACTTGGTGCCATCTGAACTTCTCCCAGACATCAGCGACTGCAAGGACAGCTCCCTTCGCAGCAGGGCAGAGACTGTCTGGAAGGAGTACCAGAAGCTGAACCGGCACACGAAGAAAGACAGAAAAGAGGTGCTGGCGGACTTCCAAAACACCCCGTTCAGCCTACCCAGGACCAGAACCCAAAGTGAACCTGTGCCATCGACATCTGCCACCCAGAGCAAACTCAAACAGGCACAAAAAGACCTGAAGTACTTCAAAAGAAGATGCGCACAGGCCGAGCGCAAAAATGAGGAACTAGAAGAGCGATGTGAGTGGCTTACTCAACAGTGCTACTCGACCATATCAGAGCTCCACACAAATGTAGAACAATTCAAGAAAATCATTGCAGAAAAATCTTCACATGAGTCTGAGGTCAGCAAAGACCTCGCTGAGGTAAACAAGAGAAATGCTGAACTGACAACAAAGGTTGACAATCTGCAGGTCCGCCTAAAGGCCCTTGAAAAGACCGGAACCGTAAGAAACGTGAACAAAAAACTAAAGAGATGAGAAGAAAGTCTTCAGAAGAAGGAAGAAACAATAACAGAGCTGCAAACAGCTATCAGAGCTAGCACTGATGAAGTAGACTCTATGTTAAGAGAAGCCAGAGTCATTGTTAGTAGAGGTACTAGTACATGATATGTTGCCTTGGTATTGCTGTGTGAATGTGAACGTGCATGAACTATTATAATGTTGCTGCAGTGCCCTACTCTGTAGACTGTACACATGCCCGTAGCCAGGATTTTGAATGGGGGGGTTCTTCCCACTGCTTGACGGGACCTCGAGTGCCGTAGGCGGCGAGGTTCCTAGGGGGGTCTGGAAATTTTGAAAAATGAACCTTCTAAAATAGCATTTCGTGCATTTTTGAGAGGATTTCCAAGAAAAAATCAGAGATAAATTTTTATTCAATGACAAAGGGAGCAGTTTTTCTACGATTTCCAGTCCATCGTTTCAAGAAAAATCTTGGACCTTTACATAAAAAGTGGACCAAAAAGTGGACCTTTACATAAAAAGTGGACCAAAAAGTGGACCTTTGAGCCTTGTGGTGGGTTCTTCCGAACCCCCCCCCCGGCTACGGGCATGGTACAGATATCATTCGTTACCTTTTGGTATCGGTCAGTGGAGCAGAAGTGATAAACTGATCTGATGTAAGACTTATATAGCTATTTCTTAGCTTAGGTCTTATTGTTCTATTAGAAGTGCATTGAGAGTACAACGGCAGATTTAGTCATGTACAATATTGAATATACAAGTATGATGAACAACAGACTGGGCAGCTTTCAGTATAAGCATCTCCCATGTTGGCATGCACAGTGTGGAGCAGCTACTAGTATCTTGGAAGTGTAGTCGAAAATCCTCTGTTTCTGTTCTAATGGTGTCACTGTGCAAAGTTAGTAGCACTGTTACATTTGTTAGGCTTGAAATCTTCTACAGTACCCAGTAGAAAAAGAAAGACATGGTTAGTAATGTTTCTAAAGTCAGATTGTAAATACGTTGGTCAGGTTGTAAATAGGTCTATAGGTCATGAACAAGTGTGTATGTATGTAATATATCTATATGCATGTAAAATTCATGGCTATTGTGTCATTTATTGAGCTACCTACTCTACATAACAATATATTCACTTAATAGACATGGGAAAATGTGTTGATTTAACTGGAAAACAGTGAAAATCAGCCCCAGCATAAATTATGCAAATATTGTCTTAATTATGCAAATTAGGCATACGCTATGCAAATCAATGAAGATATGCTTGATGTCAACATGTCCACCAAGTTTGAACATCATATGCCCAACCAATATTCAGATAATCTTGAAACCCAAGTGACACAACAAATTTCTTGTAATTCTTCCCATTGAAAACAATAGGACAGCGGTGCCATCCTTGACCCCATTGGCCCCATTGTTAAGGCCTTTGTTTCTTGGTGACCCAAATCCCGGATTTCCAACAAATGAAATTTTTGTAACTTCTCAACCATACATCATACAAAGATGAAATAAAAACCATTTTAATAGTCAGACCTGGCTCTATCATATGACATAAGAATCAATATCCTAGGACAAAAGACAAATTTTGACCTGAACTCCTTGCGCCTGTGGATGCGTGAGGGAGTAAAGTAAACTGTGGCCGTGTTTATGTGAAGTCACCCAAGGCGCTTTACATGTGGTTTACCCCGAAGCCGGTTTCAAGTGGCTCCATCTGAACGCTCCAAATCACATTGAAATTGCCTCGATCCCAAACCACTTCTAGAGGTGGTCTCGAATCGGTTTTCCCGCATCGCGATTTGCGTCTGAACGCAATGTGATTTCAATGTAACTTCGCCTGGTCATGGCTTACGGGGTTTCTTTATTTATATGCAATACCAACTTTTACGTGGCTGCAACTTAAAGAGTAGTAATGGTCAAATAATGTGTCGTTTCTAGGGCGAGCTTCACCGCCTCTGGCTTGACCACGTCGGCATTCGGCCATGCCAAGATACGCTGGGAGGGGGGCATCAGCAAGCAGGTCGTTGACCTCTGACATTAATACGACGCCACCTTGCGTGTGTGTTTTCATCAAACAACAATAAATGTAGCTCAGGCGAATTGTGATCGGACGCGGTTTCAAAGGAATGTGTGGCACATGGACCAGATGTGAGGAATGTGAGTTACCCGAATCGCGGTTTGGGTGACTTCACATGAACACAGCCTTTGTAAAGAAGGATGCACGTTCGCCAGGGATGGAAAGATTCTTCTGGATACCTCAGGTATGAATTATTACACTTCTAGAAAGGCTTTGGTGGAAAAACTGGAGGAACAAATTGGAGTTTATGCGTTTGATTCATTTTTGTCTACTTTTTCGTTACTGAACATATTTTCCTTGATTTTGTTCTTAATATCAGTTCTAAGCGTCCAGAAAACACATAGACGCGAAGAATACATCTAGTCCGGTTGCCAAACCCCCGATTTTTGGAGAACCTTGCAATGCGGTCCATACAAAGTTTTTTTGTTGTTTCTATATCTCTGAGGTGTGCTCTTTCAGAATCTGAATGATGCCACTCTGTCATCCTTGGGCAATTCGCACAATATGCAAATTAAGGTGGCCATTACTGAAAATCCAGCCTTCGTCAATATCTCAGTAACTACTCATGGTATCAGAATAATTTTGGTGTCTATCCCAATCTTTTGAGGGATAACGAATTAAATCAAGCCATTTCAGTAAAGATAGATCCATTACTTTTTGCTAAATATGCAAATTTGGGCCGCGCAATATGCAAATTAGGGCGGCCATTACTGAAAATCTGTTTTTCGTCAATATCTCAGGAACTACTCATGGTATCAGAATAATTTTGGTGTCTATCCCCATGTTTTGAGGGATAACGAATTAAATTAAGCCATTTCAGTAAAGATAGAAACATTATTTTTTGCTACATATGCAAATTTGGGCCTTGTCTGTTATTGACGCACCTGGCTGCCAGCAAGGAGGGGTCCTAATTCCGACCCATGTTCCATGCAAACGCACATGCCTTGGTATAGTTTATCTGACCCAAAACCTGTTCAATATTGAAAGACAAGTTTACCTAAGTCTAGATGGCAGACGTCTTCTAGCATTTTTTTTTAACGGTGTCGCTCAATGCAAGGCCATTTGGCCACTTCTAGGCATAGAGCTAGCCTGTAACTGTAACAGCAACTCTTCTCCCTGTGTCAGAAACATCATCACACGTAGTGAAGACTAACTGACCCACTAGGAGAAGCAGGGGTTACGAGGCTGGTCGGGAAAATTCCCTACCCCTTTTTTGACCATAATGGTTTGTTCCACTTCCGCTCACGTGGGTTTTTTAACGTGATTGAGGTGTGTCTCTTCTCAAACACGGGACCTCCATTTTAACGTCCCATCCGATAAGACGCCCCTAACCGAAGCTAGGTACTCATTTTCACCTGAGTGAAGTGAGGAAAATCGTGTAAAAAGTACCTTTCCCGATGGTACAACGTCGCGGCGCATGTTCGGACTTGTTTGGGTACGACCCGGAATCGAACCCGGGTCTCCCCGTTTCACAGTCCTGTGATGTACCACTACACCACACGACGCATGAAACGCCGCTTGCGTATGATTGTAGACACTGGCTGTTGGTTAGCTCTGGCTCATATATCTGTGTTGGGTATGAAGTCCTGTCGTCTGATGCTCAAGATCTTCCTCACGCATTCACTATCAGAAGCATCCAGTGATTCCAGTCTCTTTTCTCTTTTCTTGGCTGATTTCCACATACCGGTAGTAGGTTTCAAAGTCAAGCTGGTTGAAGGCTGCTGAGGCCTTTCCAAGTCTACAGTCTAGCTCATTGTCCATCTGTCCTTTGTTGTTGGTGGAGCTCCCAAGGTAGGTGAAGTTCTCCGCCACTTTCAATTTGTTCTCGTCAATGGTCACACTTCTATAAAGAGGACCGTGTGTCCCTATCAGCATGTTAATTGATGGCCCTGATGCTGAGCCCAATGCTGTCTGCAGACGGACTATGTTGGTCACTAGGGGGTGGAGATCTCTGGCGTTTTCAGCTATGTCGTCTGCATAGTCAAGGTCGGCAAACTTTGTCTCTGGAACCCACTTTACCCCCGGCCCTTTTCTCCTGTTGCTTCCCAAGTACCCAGTCGATAGCCACGGGAAAGAGGATCTGTGACAGGACACAACCTTGGAGGATCCGTCTTCAAACCACCAGCTGTATCTAGATTCCTTCAACCGTCCGTACACAACACTTCGAGTTTCAGTATATCTGTTTAACTGCATACATAAGTTTACTTGGCAGTCCATAACTGTACATGATAAAGAGGGACTTTAGATGCTATCAAACGCCTTGCAGAAATCAATGAATCTGATAGCTAAAGGGGTTTGCAGTTCAGCACATTTCCTCCACCGCAGGGTGAAGATCTGCTCAGCACAGGATCTCTTTGAGCGAAAGCTAGCTTGTTGCTCGCAGCTCCCAGAGGACCTTGCCTACTGCATCTCTCATGCTGTTCAGGAGGCATTTGGCATACACCTTCACTGGTATAAAAAAGAATTGTCACTCCCCTTAAGTTATCACATTCATTCAGGTTTCCCTTCTTTGGAATACACACTTTAAGCCTATGTCACAATTCAAGAAAGGGGCCCGCTCGGCGCGTTTTCGGCCTGTGTTTTGGCACTACCGAATTCGGAACGGGACCTGGAAGGCAATGGGCGGGGTTCCCGACGGCTGCCGGCCTATTTTTTGGCCCCGCGACGTCGCCAAATTGATTTGACTCAACTTAAAGTCACTTCAGGCCCCGGCGGGCAAGGTACGCCGAAGCGACCCCGTAACCTCACCGGACCAAACCGTAACCTAGCCGCCGGGTCATGCACAGGCACCTGTCCAAGATTATGAAGTCACGTGTGTTGTTCTGTGCTTGAATTGTTCAGAAGAAGGTAGTTATAGACAATATAGAGGGTAATGTGCTGTTCTCGACATAGTTACATCATCAGTCAGTCATAGTGACCATACACGGGTCTGCGCATCAACCAGCAGGGCCGAACCCACCATACCAGCCACAGGCGTACCAGCCTGGGACCTGCCAGGATCGCCCCTTGACCCCGCCAGGGACCCTGTAGCTACCCGGCCGGAATGCAAGAGCTAGTCGGCACCCTATCGCATCCCGCACAGGTCTGACAGAAGACTGACTGGGCACCGGACGGGTCCCTAACAGAAACCGGTCGTCAAGGGGACCAACATTTTGTGAATTTTACATAGAAGCCGCCTCAGCGCCCCGACAGGGAGCTGTAAAGGAACATTTAATTGT